TACCCGATAAGGTTACGTATAATGCGTTGTTGGATGTGTATGGAAAGTCTAGGCGGACTAAGGAAGCAATGGAGGTATTGAAAGACATGGAGTTTAATGGCTTTTCTCCAAGTATTGTGTCTTACAATTCACTGATATCAGGTTATGCAAGAGATGGTTTATTGGAGGAGGCAACAGCCTTGAGAACCCAGATGGTGGAGAAAGCGCATGACCATTGTATAATAGTTGAACATTTCCATTTCTGATTCTTCCTTGTGCTTTCTTATCTGTCTATTAATTGATATTATGTTTTTGGTTGCTTGGTCAGGATGAGTAAGATGGGTTGATGTTGTGAGAGCTACGTTAGTATCATGCCCTTGATCATTTTCTTGCAAGTATAAATAGATGTGTGGTTGCTCTTTGCATAATTGCATGCAATATGGCCCATTATTAATGGTGAGAAAATGAACAAGAAAAAGACAAGGAAGGACTTTTGAGTAGGCAATCAACCATTATATAATAACCTATAGGGCAGGTATACAGTTTGCCAAGTATATATGATGCAGAATGCATATTATTAGTTTTCCTAATTCTACTTGGATTAGTTTTCCTATTATTAGTTCATAATTCTACTTGGATTAGTTTTCCTATTATTAGTTTTCCTAATTCTTAAAGATTCCTTCCTAGGAAAGGATTTCTTATTAGTTAATTTGCTTTCCTATTTCGTAAAGTTTACTTTTCCTTTTCCTAGACTAAAAAGGGTTTTGCCTCTATAAATAGAGTTGTTTGTAATCTTTTAAGGCAGACTTGATTAATGATAAATTTCCTTACTTTAAACTCTCTGATTTCTTCCCTTTCCCTTCGTCTCTTCGATCTCTAATTCTTCTCCTCGATCCCTTATTTCTTCTCTGTTCTAATACTCAAGTATTTACTCTAAATCTACGGGCTGTTCTACATCAATTGGTATTCAGAGCCTACCCTCACTTTCGTTTTGCGCTTGCTCTCTACCATGGCCCCCCAAACCGTGGCCAGCCTTGCGGAACAATGTCGTGCATTCCAAGACAAGGTTTCTGACGACATCGCTGGCATAGAAACCCAGCTTTCCAAGCTCAGCACTGACATCAAAGAACATCGTGCGACGACGGACCTCGCCATCGCCAAACTCCAAGACTCTGTTCAGTTGCTTATCAACAACTTTCGGACTGGACCTGCTGAACCTTCTACCTCAGCGGTTTTATCGAGCTCGTCTACGCCACCGCCGACAAGTGGCATTCTGCCCAATCCACCGATGGATCAAAAACTTAAGACCGTACCATATGGCATGTCGCATGGCTCAAT